GGGGCTTACTTGCTGTAAAAACGACCGCTAATATTCTTGGGGTGGACTTCCATTTTACCCCGAAAAAACGCGAAAATGTCGCGGCGGCCGGTCACCGGAGACTTTTCCAGGGTGGTCCGTACACTTTCCGGCGAGACGTACGGCGGAATAACCACATTCTCGACGTCCTGGCATGGGTGGTTGCCTTCCACACCAAAAGTCTGCAAAACTATCGAATTTCTCATAAACTCCGGCACCCCTTCCGCCACCGCCGCATCCTCCTACAAATTAACAAACAAAAACCAGAAATAAATAAAATCATCCACTATTAAAAAAAAAATGATTTTTTTTTTTTCAAGTGTTTGCATACCATGGTGTGAAAGCATGAGCCGAAGTCGTGTGACGCGACAAAAACATGGTCGGCGCCGCCGCTGCGGTTCCAGAACGGGAGGTGGGAAGAAACGTGCACGACGGCGGAGGCCATGAGGGCACGTGCGTGGCCAATCGCCGGGAAGCCGTTGACTTTGCTGAAATTACAAGACACGTAAACAGGGACGAAGAAAAAGTCAGCCTCCCACGGGTCAAACGTCCTCGCCGGACTTTTCATCAACGCCCTGTGAACCGCCACCTCCGACGCAAACAAATGGCTGCCGCACCGCTCGTTCGACAGCCAATCGCTGTTGTATTCCGCCGGCAAATCGTACACATACACCTTCATCCCCGAATTTTCTTCGAATCTTTGGAGGTAGCTGAGGGGAGATTCTTCAACGACGGCGCGTGAGGCTTGGGTACGGGAAAAGGTGGTTCTTGATAGAGAGGTGATGATGGGTTTATTTTGAGTGATTAGAAAATAAGAAAAGAAATAAAAAGAAATCGAAAACCAGAGAATCCATTTGAAGTATCTGTGTCTTGTGTTGTTGTGTAAGAACTTCATTTTAAGGTAGAAGCCTCTGTTTCTTAATGGCCGTTTGGTCGTTTCGGCCATGTTTATCATTTCTTCTCTCTCTCACTAAAACCTTTCTAGAGAGAGAAAGTGAGGATGAAATGGAGCTGTCCTGTGTTTGGTGTTTCAGGAGAAGTGAATATTAAGTGAAGAACGAATGGGATTTGTTGGGAGTTTGGTTTTTGCTTCAAGAACAATAATAAATAATTAAAATGGATTAATTGATTAAATAATTAATTATTCAAGTGTAATAAAATATTTGGTAATAATTTTATTTTCTTTAATCATGAAAAAAACTTACGTGCGCCACGTACATG